AAACGTATCTCTCCTTATGAACCACTGAGGACTTTAAGATCATCTGGGGAGGCCTTGCTCTTGGTCCTGCCTTTGTCACAAGCACATTTAGTGGGGACGAGAGACAGGGCCTTCTCAGTGGTGGCCCCTCGGCTATGGAATACCCTCCCTAGGGAAATCAGATCTACTCCCTCCCTCTTGATGTTTTGAAGGCAAGTTAAAATGTGGCTATTGGAGCAAGTGTTTACAAATACAGAGTAGCTAATATAGGAAATCTAATGACCTGACAATGGAATTAGACAATGCTTGAGAATAATGAGATGCTGATGATGTTGCTTTTATTGTTTTTGTGATGTTCTTATACTGTTTAATGTTTTTTATCTATTATGTTTTATGTATACTGATTTGTTGGAAACTGCTTTGAGTCGCCAATTGGCTGAGAAAGGCAGTATACAAATACAGTAAATAAATAATAATGCAGTAAATAAATATGACAGGAGAAGGAGGAAACTTCAACTTCCCAACTAGTTCTTTGTAAACTTTGGAACCATTCTATCATCAACCCAATTCCATGAAGGAGACAATAAAAGTCTTCTTTGGATCTCCACTATGACTCTTTCCTGCTGCAGAAATATGGCTGTTTCACAAGCAACTGGCACTGGAATTAGAATGGTTGATCCACGTGTCAGTGGTAGACTCAATTTAGTGTTCTTTTCCCCATTAAAATCAGAAGTGCACATCTGTCCTGCAAAAATACACGTGAGATGGCTCTTGCAGAAAAGGAATGGGGAGTTAGCCTGCCAAGACTAATGTTATTTTTTAAATTAACTTGGAGAATAAATGTTTAATTCCACTTAAGAACACTAAAGTATATATTTAAAGTGTTCATACCTAAGATTGCTCAAACTAGTCTTACATACTGTATATTAGCATGCCCACTTAGAATAACATCAGAATGCAAAAACCAAAAACCAAGAGCAAATTTGTCTGAATTCACTGAAATGGGAAAGTGAATAAAGGTCAGCAGTTTCACTCTTAATTGTTTAATGCAGATTATTTTAAAATTTCCTTTCACTCTTGGGCTGCAAACAAAAGTGTGCCTCAGTAGTAGTAGTAGTAGTAGTAGTAGTAGTGGTAATCTATACTACACTTTGCTTACTGTTGTAATTATTTCCTTTTTGGTGTGGTTCTTAGTATCCTAGATGCCGAAACATCTCTAGTTATTCAACAGATAATGACTTTTTGATCCCCAAAAGGATGTATATGTTGTAATAATATTTATTTATTTGATATGAATTGTTTTTAGGGCATAATCCACGGGGTCATGATAGCTCAGCGGGTTAAACCGCAAGCTGCAGAAAAACTTACTGACCGGAAGTTTGGCAGTTCAAAGCCACAGGTCGAGGTGAGCTCTTGCTATCAGCCTTAGCTTCTGCCTACCTGGCAGTTTGAAAACATGTAATGTGAGTAGATCAATAGGTACCACCTCAGCAGGAAAATAAAATGTATCCTGCAGCCATGCCGGCAAAACGCAACCAGGAGAGTTTACGGACAACAGACTCCCGAGCAGAGAAAATGGAACAAGAACACCTCCCCACGGCCAGCGTTGAGAATCACCTCCAGAGGTGGAAAATGAAACCTTTGCCTTGTTTGTATATTGTATCTCATTGTTCAGTGTATAAAAGGCATTGAATGTTTGCCTATATATGTCTATACTGTAATCCACTCTGAGTCCCCTCGAGGAGATAAAGAGTGAAATATAAATAAAGTGCATTTATTTATATATTACCCTTGTGGCTTCCAGATGTTGTGGCCTACAATACCCATCACACTTCATCTGCTATCTGGGTGGGATTGATGGGACCATATCTAACAACCTCTAGAGAGGGTTCCAGGTTGAGGAAAGATGCTACACAGTTCCATTTAACTCATTTAGGTAGACATATATTACTGATTTACAAATAAATAACTGAAATCATTACTGATTTACAAATAAATAATGATTTCCACTGATGAACGGAAATGAGATAATTTAAGAATATTGACATTTCATTTCACTCCTTTTCATCTAAATCAAGGGTCCTCAAACTAAGGTCTGGGGGCTGGATATGGCCCTCCAAGGTTATTTACCCGGCTCTCACTCAGGGTCAATCAATGTCTGAAACAACTTGAAAACACAACAACAACAATCTTATCTCATCAGCCAAAAGCAGGCCTACACTTCCCACTGAAATACTAATAAGTTTATATTTGTTAAAATTGTTCTTCATTTTAATTATTGTATTGTTTTCTAAGTGTTTTTTGCACTACAAGTAAGATATGTGCAGTGTGCATAGGAATTCATTCATTTTTTTCCCCAAATATAATCCGGCCCTCCAACAGTTTGAGGGACTGTGACCTGGCCCTCTGTTTAAAAAGTCTGAGAACCCCTGATCTAAATACTCATAGTATTTAGTGTTACCACAATGGCTTATTTAGCTCAGTCAGCTGGAAACGGTTGAACAGTAGCTGAGAAAAGTGTTCAAGGCGTTCCCAAGGTAGAGCCCGACTGTGTCCCCCCCTCCCAACACCTTTTCCCTCCGCTCCACAGAAGCTGACTCCCTGTCACAAATTGCAAAAACAATTCACTCCCCATCAAGTGAACCACATTCCCTCAGCCTCACACTCCGCTCACAGCTTTCCCTCAGGTAGGTGCCCTTCTCGTCACAAAACAAGACAATGTGTCATTGCATGCTATGTAGCTGTGGATATACATTATACACCCAAGTGAAAACTGCCGACAACTATTATATAATGCGGTATTTTTCTTTCCCCTTCTCCGTTGTGCTTTTGTTTGTTTGTGCCCTTCACCTACCCTATGAGTTTTTAGTCTTTCTTCCTTTTTTCTTCACTTCTCTGGGGCTTTGCCTCACAACTTGTCCACCTGAGGTGGACATTTAAGTCAGTGCCAACATAAATCCTGTCATTTCTCATTATGTTACAATCCCTAGTCAGTAAACAAGGCCCTGCAGGCACAACATCACCTTCCCAGAGGATGGTGCGTTGGGAGGACACCCTCTAGAAAGTTCATTCCCTTCAGCATTTGTGTGAGACTCCTCAGCCTTTTATCACTGCAAATGGAAGGACTTTCATAAAATCCATGTTTATAACACTGTTCTAGTCAACTGAAAATATCTGTTATATTGTAAAATGTAGAGATCGCTCAACAACTATGATCACTTCAGCAACTATAGTCAATTGTGCCTTGAGAGAGAATTCAGACAATGCACAAAACAATGTCTCATATAAGTCATAGTTTCAAAACTGAAAGCAAGGGTCCAAATATAAAGACAAATCATGGTTAAAGTTGCTTGGTTGCATTCATCTAATTAGTACTTCGCCCTTTAGAAGTAAACCAACAGGTTCATAGATTTGGACACCACACCAAACCTCAGTTAACATTAAGTACAGTTTCCCAATCAACTTCAAACTATGGCTTCCTGTTCTAATTTGCCAACCAACTGGAAATCATGGTCTGTCAATTCAAAGATAAACTAAATCAGCGTTTCCCGGGGGAGGGGGGGGTCACAAGGGAGTTGTCAGAGGGGTCGTCAAAGATCATGAGAAAACACAGTATTTTTGTTGGTCATAGGTGTTCTGTGTGGGAAGTTTGGCCCAATTCTATAATTGGTGGGGTTCAGAATGCTCTTTGATTGTAGGTGAAATATAAATCCCAGCAACTACAACTCCCAAATGTCAAGGTCTATTTTTCCCAAACTCCTCCAGTCTTCACATTTGGGCATATGGAGTATTCATGTCAAGTTTGGTCCAGATCCAGCACTGCTCCCTGGATGTAGATGAACTACAACTCGCAAACTCAAGATCAATACCCACCAAGCCCTTCCAGTATTTTCTGTTGGTCATAGGAGTTCTGTGTGCCAAGTTTGGTTCAATTCCATCATTGGTGGAGTTTAGAATGATTGTAGGTTAACTATAAATCCCAGTACCTACAACTACAAAATGTCCAGGCCAATTGCCATCAAAGCCCACCAGTATTCAAATTTGGGCATATCAAGTATGCATGCCAAGTTTGGTCCAGAACCATCATTGTTTGTGTTCACAGTGCATAACTACAACTCCCAAATGACAAAGTCCACTGAATGAAAATATATTCTGCATATCAGATATTTGCATTGTGAATAATAACAGTATCAAAATTACAGTTGTGAAGTAGTGATGAAAATAATTTTATGGTTGGTGGTCACCACAACATGAGGAACTGTATTAAGGGGTCATAGCATTCGGAAGGTTGAGAAACATTGAACTAAATCATAGTTTGGCTTTCACAATTTGATGTGATGACAGAACTGAATCAGTGTAGTTTAGTAATTAGTTTCCTTTCTAAACATACTAATGTCCTCTATGTCTCTTTTTGAAATGCTATGCCAAACAAAATCCAAGGTGACTAAAATAGTTACAAATTTGTGGTGGATCGGAAACAGGTTGCATTCCAAAGCAAGAATGCTTTTCAGTATTGGTAATAAAATGGCTGAAGAAGAAAGTCTGGAGCTTCTGCAATTAGACAGAAATCAAGAGTTTGTTGAGAGCTTCTAGTGTTTAATCTTGCCTTCATCCCATGAGTGATCCACATATCAAAGAATGTGAGGGAGATTTATGTATCTTTCTCCCATGGGACAAATGGGGAAAACCGATATCATGGATGTGGCATCATAAATCGCGCATGCGGATATTTAGATGTGCGTGCGTGCGTGCCTTCAGATAACCAGTCAACTTATGAATTTCATGGGGCAAGGAATACTTAGGTGGTTTTGCAAGTTCTTTTCCCCGAACCAGGTCTTCGTTGGTGGTCAACCATCTGTCACAGAAATGAAATGACCTCAAGACACAAAAAACAAAAGCCTTCCTGGGTTTCTATATCACAAATCTGACTGAAACCACAAACATCAAAATTATCCCCTGGCAATTAGTGGACAACCCTATTTTTAAAGCCATGGATTGTTCTCTTTCAGGCTTCCTTTTACCTGCTTGAATGTGCCTTTTGTTTTCAGGAGGATGAAGATAACGTAGGACGGGATGCAGATCATCGAGGAGAGTGCCATCAACCAGCCAACAGTGATTCCCCATGGTGGATATTCATATAAGTTGTTATATTTGAGTGGTGTGTATCTAATGAGCGAAAACAGGAATGTTGCCTAAAGAAGACAAGAGCAAACAAAATGACAGCTGTGATAAGTGGTAAATTAGAAACATGTATACAGAGATAATTCATGAGAAGATCAGAGAGCTCTGTATTTAACTCAGAGCACAACAGTTTCACCTATGAGGAAAAGATAACCCCTGTTGCACTTCTGTCATGTCAGACCACAGTGAGATGCCTGTAAGGATCCACTAATGAATATAGCATTAAGCCTAGATATAACCTTGGGGTTTCTATTTTAAAGAATACTTTTTGAGCGTGTGAAATAGGAATGAGCAATTACAGCTCTTTTGACCAGGTCAAGAGAGAAAGCCAAGCTCTTTGCATGACACAGAATGCTGTGGTGCTGGTTCTTAAGTGTCTTGTCTTGCCCTATTTTGAAATATATGTGTCCACACACACACACAAATATATATACCAGTATGTCTTCATTCAAAAATATGCATGTCATTTGGAACTTGGATATTTAGAAGACTACCTCCTCTAACAGCAGTCTACCCTGATTGCATCCCAGCACCAACAACAGGGCAGCCAGCAACAATGTAAGAGAAGACCTCTGCTGCTATGTCCAGATGATGGTTCCCATTCCCATCTACTTGCATCCTATAACAGAGTTGTTTCAATTCTACCTCGTCCCCTTTAATTGTATCCTTGAGTAGATTGCTGGGCCTTGCCCACCACCTACGTGTGGTTTAGAGTCCTTGATAGCTTCTTGGCCAAAAGTGATGTGAAAGATTTAACATGTATTTGTAGCCTTGTTTGATGCTTTTTGCATCGGCCACAAATTTTGACCTTGAGCAAAGATATGAAAGGGTGAGAATCAACTGAGAGAGTGAAATTTTCTCTGTTGTCAACCTGTTTGCACAATTTTCATAGCTACTGGAGGGAATGGGCCACACTTACATGCTTTGATTTTTATTTGTTTGCTTCTGCACTGGCTTCACTTTGTGGGGTTCCATCCCAATCCAAGGGTCTTCATTATCCAGCAATGGGATATCTGATTGTCAACCAAGGGATAGACTGGGTTGAATGTATTGTCGAAGGCTTTCATGGCCGGAATCACTGGGTTGTTGTAGGTTTTTTCGGGCTATATGGCCATGTTCTAGAGGCATTCTCTCTTGATGTTTCACCAGCATCTATGGCAAGCATCCTTAGAGGTAGTGACGACCTCACTACCTCTGAGGATGCTTGCCATAGATGCAGGCCTAGTCTCTCACTCCAGAAGTGATTTGAAATTTCTCAAGTCATTTCTGGCATGAAAAAAAACTACATCAGCTGAAAAACAGGTGTCAAATAAAAAAAACATTCAAAAGTGATTTAGTTTTTATATACAGTAGATTATGAGAACAGTAGTCCAACAACATTTGCAAGATGCCAGCTATCCAATATTATCCATCTACATCATTACATTAATTGTGATGGCACATGATGAAAGTTCTTCATGGGAATTATAACTGTAGATTGAATTTTCCATTGGGTGATGTCTCAATGAGTGAAGTCATTATATAGAATATATAATTGTACCTACCAGACAAACTGCAGGTGTCAAGAAAAGCCAGCAGAACTTAACCAGAGGCCATGGCCGATAGCCAATCATATCTTCAATGTTGTCATAAAAACGATCTGCTCCTTAACAACCACAAAGAAAAAGAAGAAATGAGAACAATCATGTGGGAATACAAATCCAAAATCTTTTGGTCCCCTGGAACAGAAGCCACAAACCTGAAAGAATATTTCAAAATAATATAGACATAGTCTTGTAATGCCATCTTTTTACCTTCAGGAAGGGTCACCTAATAACCACCATGCAATTTCCATCATATACAATTGCATTGTTTTTGACATGCAGGAGATGATGGGAACTGCAGTCCAACAACATTTGAAAGGTGCAAGCTTCTCTATGCTGGATCCAATATTATCCACCCACTTCACTACAGTAACTGTGATGATATATGATGAAAGTTTCTTATTGAGATTATATCATATATCCATTAAGAGGTTAAAAGGGCAAATAAAACTTCTTAGTGTTTATTTCAACACTTTCCAGACTTCATAGTTTGTGTGAAGTGTGTTGTAACATTGCATGTGTGTTTGTATATAAACAAACATGAATATATATACCCATATTAAAATGTTAGGACAATTAGCACCACAATTCTAGGTATGAGTTGCTGTGAGTTTTTCAGCTTTGTGGCCATGTTCCAGAAGCATTCTGTCCTGATGTTTCACCCATATCTAAGGTAGGCATCTTCCGTGGTTGTGAGTCTGCTAAAAACTAGACAAGTGGGGTTTATATATCTGTGGAATGTCCAGGGTGGGAGAAAGAGGCAAGTGTAAATGTTGCAACTGGCCAGCTTGATTAGCATTGAATAGCCTTGTAGTTTCAAAGACTGGCTGTTTCCTGCCTGGGGGAATTCTTTGTTGGGATGTGTAAACTAGCCCTGACTGTTTCTTGTCTGGAATCCTCAGTCTTCTGAGTGTTGTTCTTTATTTACTGTCCTGATTTTAGAGTTTTTTCAAACTATCTACAAGCCCACTGAGGAAATCCAACAAATACTACATCCAGCAAAGGACAAGAGGGATTCTCTCACCTCTGCAGGACTCTACCATATACCATGCAGCTGTGGGCAAGTCTACATAGGGAACACCAAACACAGCATTGTCCAGACACGAAACAAGGAACATGAAAGGCACTGCAGACTAATTCAACCAGAGAAGTCAGCCACAGCAGAGCACCTGATGAACCAGCCCGGACACAGCATATTATTTGAGAACACAGAAATGCTGGACCACTCTAACAACCACTATGTCAGGGTGGTTGTTAGAGTGGTCCAGTGGCTTCTCTGTGTCAGACTACACAGAGAAGCCATTGAAATCCACAAGCATGTGGACAAACTCAACAGAAAGGAGGAAACCATGAAAATGAACAAAATCTGGTTACCAGTATTTAAAAATTCTAAAATCAGGACAGTAAATAAAGAACAACACTCAGAAGACTGAGGAATTCCAAACAAGAAACTATTAGGGCCAGTTAACACCTCCCAACAAAGGATTCCCCCAGGCAGGAACAGCCAAGCTTTGGAACTGCAAGACTATTCAATGCTAATCAAGCTGGCCAGTTGCAGCATTTACACTTGCCTCAAACAGACAAGAGTTCTTTCTCCCACCCTGGACATTATTTCACAGATATATAAAACGCACTTGCCTAGTTTCCAACACAACCTTCAACCTCTGAGAATGCCTGCCATAAATGTGGGTGAACCGTCAGGAGAGAATGCTTCTGAAACTTGACCATACAGCCCAGAAAACTCACAGCAACTCAGTGATTCTGACCATGAAAGCCTTCGACAACACAATTCTAGGTATTCTTACTAAAAATATGTCTATGAGATTGAATGGGAATTTCTCTAAAGGAAAAAGGTATAACTCATATTCTGAACCGTAATTGCCATCATTCTTCTCCATGGGCTACATTTGTGGAATTATGGGCTCCCCAGATGAAGAGAGCAGGACTGCAGTTTAAAACATATCAAACCAGCTCCAATTAAAAACAATGGAGGATTTCATTTTAAGAAAAAGCAGAACGTCACAAAAGGCAGTAACCCGTTTCTCTTATTGTAAAGGTGTTTTATAAGATTTTATATGGGCTGCTCTCATTTTCACTTCACGCTTTCAGGCTGAAAATCCTTTATCATTCCTTTATTTCTGTACCAAGTTCTTTCATGCGCCGTTATGATCACTGTTGTTGTTCTCTTAGGGGTGGTTGGTCTATTTTTGTGGTATCTCATTAGTTTAGTTACAAAATTTATTTCAGATGTTTTCTTCCAGCTGTAGATCTTTATAGAATTGTATCATAGTGTGTTGTATTATATTTTTCAGCTAATTAGAGGTTCTAAGAGGCCATTGAATGCCTGCACCCATGCTTCCTGGGAAGAACATCACAACGAAAGCCATTCTGACCCAATTCACCAACAATAATAGAAGAAGTAGCAAGAAGGTGTTTTCTTCCCTCCTCTGCTCTTGCCTGAAAACACATTTGGAGTCCAATTGCTGGTCATCCTGGTATTGTGGGACTGAAAGGAAACAAAGTTTGTTGACTTATGCAATGACCAGGAGATTGAAGAACTTGGAAACACGTCTTCTTTGGACTACAGCTCCTTGAATTTTTCAGCCAACACGGGCCTCATCTAAAGTAAAGGTCAAGGTTTCCCCTTGACTTTAACTAACCATGTCTGACTCTGGGTGGTGGTGCTCATCTCCATTTCTCAGGCGAAGAGCTGGTGTTGTCCATAGACACCTCCAAGGTAATGTGGCTCACATGACTGCATGGAGAGCTGTTACTTTTCCGCCGGAGTAGTACCTTTTGATCTACTCACATTTGCCAACCTAGCAGTTTTAGAATTGCTAGGTTGGCAGAAGCTGGGGCTAAGAGCAGAAGCTCACCCTGCTTCCCAGATTCAAACCGCTGACCTTTTGGTCAGCAAGTTCAGCAACTCAGCAGTTTAATCCACTGTGCCACCAGAGGTTCAGGTCCCCACCTACATTATCATATAATGCAGTTTTACAATGCAGTTTAACTGTATTGAACTGCGTTATATGGCAGCATAGGGCAGTTAAATGCAGTTAAACTACATTATGAAACTGCATTATATGGCAGGGTAGATGGGGCCATAATTAGCAGACATGTTGGCTGGGGGAATTCTGGGAGTTGTGCTATAAAAAGAAATCCAAACATTTCTATACTTTGATGAACTGCGTGCCACTTGTATATGCATGTCTCTCTTGTTACACACAACCTGCTTCTTCTGAGTAATCAGACATTCTGGGGATGTGCACTACTCATCCATAGCAGTGATTTGGAGTACTAAATGGAAAGAATATTCTCTATTATTTGTCTCTAGGTCAAAAATGAGATTTCTGACAATTTAGAACCCCATCAGGAAGAATCAAAGAATAGAATCATAGAATCATAGAGTTGGAAGAGATCTTGTGGGCCATCCAGTCCAACTCCCGCCAAGAAGCAGGAAAATTGCATTCAAAGCACCCTCAACAGATGGTCATCCAACCTCTGTTTAAAGAAGGAGCCTCCACCACACTCTGGACAGAGAATTCCACTGCTGAATAGCTCTCACAGTTAGGAAGTTCTTCCTCATGTTCAGGTGGAATCTCCTTTCCTGTAGTTTGAAGCCATTGCTCTGAGTCCTAGTCTCCAGGGAAGCAGAAAACAAGCTTGCTCCCTCCTCCCTATGACTTCCCCTCACATCTTAATCCATGGCCCTCATCATGTCTCCTCTCAGCCTTCTCATCTTCAGGCTAAACATACCCAGCTCATTAAGCCGCTCCTCATACAGCTTGTTCTCCAGACCCTTGATTATTTTGGTCGCCCTCCTCTGAACACATTCCAGCTTGTCAACATCTCCCTTCAATTGTGGTGTCCAGAATTGGACACAGTATTCCAGGTGTGGTCTGACCAAGGCAGAACAGAGGAGTAGCATGAGTTGAGAACCCCATCAGGAAGAATCACAGGCCAGAAAGAATAATGCAAATACAGAAAACATGAATATTCATGTCCTTCAGGAGTGGAGAAAAACTATCAAAATTATCCCCCCCCCCCTCCCACCGCTGTCATTTACACCATTAGCACTATGCACCTGAGTAGTGGATAGGCAATGCTACGTCTTATTCCGTCCCAGGCAGGAATATATCTTAGTTGACCCCTGGAAGGAAACTAGCAGCAGCGTGTGGCATTTTGTAACCGTGTTTGTTTAGCATGTGCAGCTTGAGCACAGGCAAGTTTCAACAACCCAGAAGGAAATCCAACACCTATTGTTCCCCCATCAGCGCTTTAGGGAAATATATCCTGCCAATTCTGTCATTTTGCAATGTTCAGATATCAGGTCTCTGGTTTAAAATTGCTGCATTCTTCTCTTCACATTCAAACTCCTTGGCTATTTCACCTTCAACTAAAAACAGGATTAGGTCTGCCTTCTTCTCTGACAGCTGAGTATCAAGAAGTAGTCAAGTAGCAATTTGATTCCATGGCAAGCACTTTGTCTCTATTTGCAAAGCAACCGTGCCTGCCCAGATATGTCCAATCCCACAAAATTGAAGACACATAACCGTGTTAGTCTGGAATATCAATATCTTATAGCTCCTTTGAGACCGAGGAGAATAAGTGATAAGCTTTTGCAGACTTAGCCCACTTCTTCAGATGCATGCAAGATCCCTTGGAACACTGTTTTTGTAATTGGCTGCAAGAGTTTTAACTGCGAACAAAACATTATAAGCCTGCAGTGAACTTTTGGGAAAATGGGGATTTTAATCAACTGGAAATAGATGGCACAGCAGGTTAAACTGCTGAGCTGCTGAACTTGCTGACTGAAATGTCAGTGGTTCAAATCCAGGGAGCGGAGTGAGCTCCCACTGTTAGCCCCAGCTTCTGCAAACCTAGTAGTTTGAAAACATGCAAATGTGAGTAGATCAATAGGTACCGTGCTCCAGCGGGAAGGTAATGGTGCTCCATGCAGCCATGCTGGCCACATGACCTTGGAGGTGTCTATGGACAACACCGGCTCTTTGTCTTAGAAATGGAGATGAGCACCACTCCCCAGAGTCAGACACGACTAGAC